CGGCCCGAGTAAGCCCTTGGCCCGTGAGCCTTGACTGAGGCTGGGCTGGGCCGGCCCGTGAGCCTAATAAAAATACGTATTTAAAATATACAAAATATAAAAAGTATATGACACAAAATATAACAAGAAGAGTATCTCAAGCTTAAAGTTTATTAAGCTCATCATATCAAAAGATCAAAGTCTTAAAATGTTAATTAGTTTTAAAATTTTAATATTCTTAATATTTAACTTATTAATATTACATACGAATTGTAAATGTAGATGAAAATGAAGATGTTACGGCAACCTTCTCACAAGCGGACTCAAATGTGTTTGATAAAGATGATGTGTTGGATATCTCATAAGCGTCATGGACGTTCTCTTGAATAGTTTGTTTTGAGTTTTGACTTTTTAGTGAATGAAATATAGTCTTGTCTTTTACTTTTTAGTGTTTATTGTGATATATTGGAACAATATAAAAAGTTATTAAGTTTTGTGAAAATTTTCCAATAAGATTTTTTTAACTTTGAAATAGTTATCTTTTTTTATGTTAGAACTTAAAGAAAGAATATAAAATTTATATTTTAAAAAATGATAGGCTGGCTCGCGGGGCCCGCAACCTACATAGGGTTGGGGTGGGCTGATCATTATAAGGCCCATCAAAATAGTAGGCTAGCTCAACCCAGCCCGTTAATTACTAAAGCCCACGTGAACTAGGTTGCGCTAGTCCGGCCCCGCCTATATTAACAGCTTTACTAAAAGGAGTTTAATACGAATACACATGTAAGCAATTTTCACATAATCAGGTCACTTACTTAAAAATTGTGATCTCCTAATCTTGAAAAGAAGAAAAATAATACGAAAAAACTTTTAAAGAAAATACATGTGATACTATTAATTCAATTTTAAAATAAGTGTATGCCCCGGCATGATACGACTCACCCATTTTATTGGTAGATGGCATTTTGATTTAGAGTGTAATTGGTGAATACTGTTTTATATAATTCTTAAAATGGGTTACAAACCCAGCAATATATTGGTTAACGTTTGTTGATGATACTTTTGTATCCCTTCAGGGATAGTATTATATATATATTATGATTTAGCTATTTTGGTACTTTACTGATTTGTATGGATTACACGTTCCAATATGCAATATGTTATATAACTTATCACTATACGCCATAAAAATAAAGGCAAAATACATAAATAACCCCTCCAAGTTGTCCATAACGGTCAGTTGAACATCTTAACTGAGACCTTTTTCACTTAAACATATCACGTGATTAAAAACTGAACTCAATAAACACCCAACCTCACCAGCAGTCGTCGCGTGTGTTACACCTCCGGATTCGCGTGTGTAGGTAATTCCAACGGTAATATAACAGTTTTTTGTGAAATTCCAAAAATACCCTTAATGAACTCCCTAATTTAAATACCCGAATCCAATCCTAAAAATTTATTTACTCAGCCGTGTATGTCTTCTTCCTCTTTAGCAAAGCAGCAAAATTTCTTTTCTTCTCTCTCTACCTCTTCTATTTCATTAAGGATACTAGTCCCTGTTTGTGTGTCTGTGTACAAACCAAAACCAGATTTCTAGTTCTTTTCTTCCCAACAGAAGTAAATAAATTTTTAGGGTTGGGTTTGGGTATTTAAATTAGGGAGTTCATTAAGGGTCTTTTGGAATTTCACAAAAAAAAATGTTATATTACCGTTGGAATTACCTACAAACGTGTGAATCCGGAGGTGTAACACATGCGACGGGGCTAGTGAGGTCGGGTGTTTATTGACTTCAGTTTTTAGTCATGTGATATGTTTAAGTGAAAAAGGTCTCAGTTGAGGTGTTCAACTGACCGTTGTGGACAACTTGGAGAGGCTATTTATGTATTTCGCCGAAAAAAAATTAAAAAAAAAAAGATGATTGTTGAATAAGACGACAACAAACAACATACCCAATATTATCCCACACTGTGGGGTGTGGGGAGGATAGTGTGTACGCAAACCTTACTCCTACCTTGTGAGGATAGAGAGACTATTTCCAATAGACCCTCGGCTCAAGAAAGCATAAGCACCACATTAATGAAAATATAGATAAGAAGGGACAATACCAAAAAGACATATAAAAGCAGATAGAAACAACAAGACAGTAAGATGATCAACAATGAAAGAAAACAACGGCTAGTCATAAAAACCTGCTACCAATAAAAAGTGAGATTGCGTGTCAATACTACTGTTATGAACACTCTAGACTACCTACTCTACTACCCTAATCCTCGACCTCTATACCTTCCTATCAAGGGTCATGTCCTCGGTCAGATGAAGCTGCGATATGTCTTGCCTAATCACCTCTCCTCACCTCTTCTTTGGCCTAACTCTACCTCTTCGTAGGCCCTCCAGTGTCATCTTCTCACACCTCCTCACCGGAGCGTCTGTGCTCCTCCTCTTCACATGACCAAACCACCTAAGTTGTGCTTCCCGCATCCTGTCCTCAATCGGGGTCACACCTACCTTGTTGCGAATAACCTTATTTCTGATCTTATCTAACCTGGTGTGCCCGCACATCCATCTCAACATTCTCATCTCTGCTACCTTTATCTTCTGGACATGAGCGATCTTGATTGGTCAATACTCAGCTCCATACAACATCATTGGTCTGACCACCATTCTGTAAAACTACCCTTAAGTTTCGGTGGCTCTTCTTGTCACACAAAACACCGGAAGCGAATCTCCATTCCATCCATCCTACCCCAATATGATGTGTGACATCTTCATCAATCTCCCCATCCCCCTGAATAATAGACCCAAGGTACTTAAAACTCCCTCTCCTAGGGATGACCTGCGAGTCCAACCTCACCTCCCCTTCCCCTTCTTAGTCTCGCCACTGAACTTACACTCCAAGTATTCTGTCTTGGTCCTGCTCAACTTGAAACATTTAGATTCCAAGGTCTGCCTCCATACCTCTAATTGCGCATTAACACCGTCTCGCATCTCGTCAATCAATACAATATCATCTGCAAATAGTATTCACCACAGCTCCTCCGCTTGGATGTGGCACATCAGTACGTCCATCACCAGAGCAAACAAAAAAGGGTTGAGTGCCGACCTCTGATGCAACCCATCATAACCGAAAAATGGTCCGAGTCCCCACTCACCTTCCTCACTCGGGTCTTTACCCCATCATACATGTCCTTAATCAACCTAACATAGGCAATATGTACACCTCTAGCCTCCAAACATCTAAACAAAACCTCCCCCGAAACTTTATCGTACACCTTTTCTAAGTCGATGAACACCATATGCAAATCCTTCTTTCTCTCCCTATACGGCTCCATCAATCTCCTAACAAGGTGGATGGCTTATGTAGTCGAACACCCCGGTATAAACCCAAACTGGTTCTCGAAAATATACACATCTCTCCTCGCCCTTAGCTCTACCACTCTCTCCCAGACTTTCATAGTATGACTAAGCAGCTTGATACCCCGATAGTTATTGCAATTTTGGATAGCACCCTTGTTCATGTATACAGGAACCATCGTGCTCCACCTCCACTCTTCAGGCATGTTGACATCAAATAACCTAGTGAGTCACTCCAAGCCTACCTTGCCCGCACTCTTCTAAAACTCCACCGGAAGTTCATCTGGCTTGGTCGCTTTGCCCCTACTCATTTTACGCATAGGCCCCTCAACTTTATCCACTCTAATCCGCCTACAATACCCAAAGTTACAACGACTCGCAAAGAGTTCCAAATCACCTAGTACAATGTTCCTGTCCCCCTTCTCGTTCAAGAGACTATGGAAGTAGGTTTGTCATCTCTGACGTATAAGTTCTTCATCCATCAAAACTCTACCTTCTTCGTCCTTGATGCACTTCACTTGGTCCAAGTCACATGCCTTTCTTTCTCACGCCTTGGTTAACCTGAACAACCTCTTATCCCCACCTCATCCCTCGAGTTCCTCATACAAACGACTAAAAGGTGCAGTCTTGGCTGCCGTAATTGTTAACTTTGCCTCTTTCTTAGCCAACTTATAAAGCTCCCTATTCGCCCTCTTCTCCTCGTCTACACTTTCCACTAGCTCCAGATACACTGCTTTCTTGATTTCCATTTTTCCTTGCACATCTCCGTTCCACCATCAGCCTCCCTTGTGACCACTAGAGTAACTTTGATAACCTAATACCTCTCTCGCAGCTTTCCTAATGCACTGCGCAATCGTGGTCCACATAGCGCTTGCGTCCCCACTACTCCTCCAAGCCCCCATAATCACCAGCTTGACCCCCAACTCTTGTACTTTAGCTTTCACAAGACTCCTCATTTTATCCTATGTTGGTTATACATCGGCCTCTTCCTCCTCCTTGTCGTGATCTCAACGTCCATGACTAGGAGCCTATGAAAGGTCGAGAGGTTCTCACTCGAGATGACCTTGCACTAGAAAACCAAATAAAACAAACAAAATAACAAGTTCTCGTACTTGCAACAATGGCGTGTATTATTCCCAGCGATATTGCTTTTTCTCAAATTTAACCATAAAAACATTTGAAGCGAAAAACATTTCAAGTTACTGGGTTTTGATGGCAAAGTAGGAATAGTACTTCTATATTTTAGTCACCAAAACTTCCTTTAACCTGTAAGCCAAATTTATCCTCGCTTCTTTCGTTTCTCGAAAACATTTAGAGACGAAAACGACATAAAACTTCGATATGTTAAGACTCAAACGGTTATTTCGTCTAGATGAATGTATGACATCTTGCATATTGTTAAAAAGTCTTTTCAACCATCTTACCCAGAACAAAGAAATACCATTTCAGAAAAACATTTTACCAAGCGAATCAAGTTGCTCTGGAAATCAATTTAACAGCAGAACATCCTTGAAATTTTGAGCATTAACAGGACCTAATTAGATTTGAGTGTGAATGAAAAACTAATCTCTGCTGTAAATAATGCAATGTGTATATCCAAGTGGTTTTTGCTAAATTGTTCACCAAGGAAAAAAACTGACCTGGATCTCATTCGTAACTGCACGAGAATCAACAAAAAATTAAATAGCAGTTCTTTGAGTGCATCCGAGTCGTATAGTAATAATGGAGATACAATAACTACGTGACAGCTGAAACTCTTACAATGCTAGCCTTGAATCATTTGAAGTCTCTTCATTCTAATTTAAGTACAAATGAAAATAGGAGATTACTTTTACAGCCCAAGGAATGGGGAAAATTTTCAGGGCTCCCCAGAATACAAGCAGAGGAGATACCTACCAACTACCATCATTAAACCGAATCGAATCCCACAAAGATACATGGTTCTTGAGGTTTTTCTCGACCTTACTACCAGAAACTAAGTAAATGGAGGAGCAGTGTCAGTCCTACTCCTTGTCAAAAGATCAGTCGCATTTGATGTTTCTATAGATCCTCCTCACAAACAGATGTGAGCCCAAAAATCCAACAGCACCTAAGTTTAAATGACAAAAAGGCATAGCTGATTAGAATAAATGAAGCGGATATCATTGGAACTCCAAAGCAAGAGATTCAATGTGACTTACCGCAGAGAATTCCTAAGCCGAGACAAAACATCAGTGTGTATCCAAAGTAGAAACTAGTCTGAAAGAACCCTGACATCTTAGTCTTCACGTAGTAGTAATATACCGAGTATAGGTAGACATAGACAGCTGTAGAGGCGGCTGAGAAAAATGAAGTCCATTGCCAATGATAATTCTCAGCATTTAACAGGAAATATGTGCCCACAATGGTCACACAGACAGTAACAACAATGAGAATCAGGAATACCAAAAGCATAAACCCGTAAACATAGTACACCTGCAAAAACC